TCTCTTAGCTTTATGGAATAGGCTAACATTTAAGCCCAATGCTTGGAGAAAGAGCCAAGTTTTCAAAGCCTTGTGAAAGGTTAGCAGTGTCAAGATCATTTTGGGTGGGTGGGTGGGAGGGAGAATGATTTTCCATTGGGGAACCACTGCAATAGAGAAGGCCCCTTCTCTAGGTCCCTTAAAATGGCACTGTTCCTAGAGGAGATCAGAAGCATGCCCACTCTGTTGGATCAGACCATTTCCTAGTATTTCTTAGCATGGAATTTGTCAGCTGCCACAGTCAGCACTTTTCTGCACTGCATTCAGTATGCCTTAAGAATTAAAAAATCTCTGTCTGAAGTTCAACCCTATGGTCTACTTTGGCTATAGTGGCGTTCTGTCTGGACAATGTGATCACTGCCATCTTTGAAAAATACTTGCAGCCTATACAAACATTGTGACAGGCCAGTTTTGCAAATCAGTCTCCAGTAAACATCTTCACTGACCTCTCTACAAAAATCTATGTAATACTTCCTGAGATCTTAGAAGGTAACTCAGACCCCATCAGTACATACATGAAAGTAGGGGGCTTTTGTTATCTCCACTATGCATCTTTTCAAAAATTGCCAAATTGACCATGCCTCCAGTTCAAAGATTCTTCAGGTGCTCTTCACAATATTTTTTAACTACTCTTGATTCATTTGGCATCGTCTACAAACTTGTCTAGCTCACTGCTTGCGCTCAAAGCAAGATAATTTTAAACAAGTTAAAGATCCCTAACACAGCTTCCTGAGGGATTCCACTTCTTCTTTCCATTGAGAAAATTGCTTTTATTCTTACTCTTTGCTTTTTGTTTAACCAATCAGCTATTTATAAAAGGCTGACAATTTTGTTTCCTGATTGCTCAGTTTGCTTAAGAGCTTTGCACAAGACACCTTATCAACAGATTTTTGAAAAAGCGAGTACCTGTAGATAATGTCACTTGCATCCATGTGCTTTTGACATGCTAACTACAGACCTGGGGAAGCTTAAATAAAACATAATAAATCTCAGAAAAAATATGCATCTGAAAAACAGCAGCAGATTAGACACCTCAAAACCCTGAAGAAATTGGGGTTGTCTTGACAACCAAAAGCTGATGTTATTTGCATGTTGTTGTTTTTAAAAACAGCATAGAAAGCAAAAATATGTTTAATGTCTAATTTTACATTGGATGTTTTTCTCTTCTTGCTTTGCAATAATTTTGTTCAGACAAATACAATGTAACTCAGTTTGCTTTTTATTTAGCTGAACACAACTGTAATTAGTAACAGGCATTGATATTAAATAAAATGAAGGCAAATGTGTGATTATATTGCAGTTATTTCTATTGATTGTAACTCTCTCATAATATTGTAATTATTAAAAAAACTTTAACTGTTAAAAAACCCTCATTGGAAATAAACTTTGATCAACATCTAGAGACATATGAAATGACTGTATGAGATAGTCTATCTGGAATTGCTTACTAACATATAGTCTCTTAAAAAACTTTTGAAACAAAATTGCAGCTTTAAATATATTTGGGGGGGGGGGCACCCACAAATTTCTAGTGCAATATATGCAAAAGTTAAATATATCAATATTAAAAGGGGATTATTATTATGTACTGTGTATGTATGTATGTATGTACCGTGTTTCTCATATAATAAGGCCGGGTCTTATTTTTTTTGAGCCCCGAAAAAATGGCTAGGCCGTCTTTTCAGGGGTGACTTAATTTCCCCCCCTTGCATCTTCGGGCGGCAATGGCTTGGATGTTGACCTCGGCGTTGGTGGGGCACTTCGTATCGGGGTCAACGCAGGCAGCACCATATCCGGGTGTGCAACAAAAGTACTTCCTAACGGCAAGCCCCCCCACCATTCCCCCCATTTCGCATGTTTTAATATAGGCCTTAATTTGGGGGGAGGGGCTTAATTTCATTTCATGCCTATAAAACATGCTGGGACTTCCTATTGGGGGAGGCCATATTGTTGGAGAAACAGGGTATGTATGTATGTATATATATTGATATACGATTGTCAGGCACATATATTGCTGAATTACACTTCTGATTAAGAGGAATGAAGAATTCAAATAGAATGAATACATGCTATAGGAATGCACTTTCACTTCTGAATAGTTTGGTCACAATGCCTCACATATGCAGAAATTCCAACTTCTACATGGCTGTGAAATCTACTATGTATTGCAGGATGCCCAAGGTGGTGGATACAACGTCCCCATCCCATCCAATGGGGAATTTTCACCTACAAAACCCTCCTAAAATGAAACAACTGCCCACAGGCAGAGTTGATATTTGTTTTACACAGGAGAAATCCATTTAGAATCTCATTCATTGCCTTTTATCACTCAAATCAATATTTTTTTAAAAATCTCAAACAAAAATTCCAACATGGCATCAAATCATGACATCACCAACTAAAAATGGAATAATTACTCACACTTTTATAACTGTTCTCATATGTCTAATCCAACTAAATATTCTACACATAACATGGAACACTCAAACCACACAGAAATGACCAGCTGATGTTAATAATCTTTCATACAGCTGATGAATGTGAAAAATAAAAAAGGGACTATTAAAATTATTGTTTGATGGGCACTGTCAATATTCAGTAGGATTATTTCATTCTGTTGGACAATTCCTAGGTGATCTATATATATTCTACATTTGGGCATTCATCTGTTGGCTATGCACACTTAAACACCCATAGAAACAAGGAAGTTAAGATTCACATTGCTGACAGAAACTGTGATCTTTTTTTTGTAATATATGCTTACAAATAATCCATGGATACACTTTTCAGAACAGTCTTCTCTGTAACATTGTGCAGGCCCAGAATAAAAATATATTTTCCCTGGATAATATATTTGGGCTACTTAAGTACGTTTCTTACTATCGTAGCCCCTCTCTTATTTTATTATATATTCTTTGAACTTTCACTTGATCATCTTGCAATATGCCACGCCATCCCTCACCCTACAATCTAAATACAGTAGCTTGGTGCATAGATCACTATTTGATAATCTATTTCTATGAACTATTTGATTACAATATATATATATATCCCTATATCTCCCTTTGGCCATTTAAAACATAATTGTTTTTATTAAGCAAATAATATTTTTCTTTATTCTCTTAAATGTATTCTCTCAAAATAAATCTAACATAAAACATGTATGTATGTGT